ATATATATATATATATATATATATAAATAGAAGTGTATACCAGGCAGGTTGTTGTTTTGTTTTGTTTTTAAAAGAGAACATAAAACACATGATTGAAGATTGCTATAGAGCATTAATCAGTCTCCCTTGACATAAACTTAATAAGCAAATCATTGGGCAAATAACAGTGGAGAAACCTAATATTTTCTATTTCACAAGTGTTACAAATACGTAAGCATATTTGGGTGGGTGTTGCCATTTTTTAGATACTTGATTCTGGTACAAGACTATAAATGACTGCATTCTGATTTAGTTTTGTTGGATTAATTGGACCTAGGCCCTTGTGAAAGAAGCATATCACAGGAAACTGCAAGAACATGGGGAGTCTAAGGACTCCAAATTCTTTTTTCCATTGTTGTCAGTGCTCCATCTTAGTGAATCATGTCTCTACTATTTTTTCTCATGTACACATTCCCATCCTTTTGAGGGAAGCTTTGCTTCAAATTTGGACTTGAATTGAGTATATAATTTTTTTGCAAAAACTTTCTACACTGGCTGGCATTTATGCATTTCCCTTCATTGAAAAAGTTTGTTTAAAGAAAGTGGCAACTTCTGGCAACCAGAGCCACACTGATAATTTTTATGTGGGAGAGCCATTGATAGATGGCAATTACAGAAGAACCTATGGGTGCAGTTCTCAAAAAGTGCTTAGCGTAGGCCTAATAGGTCAAAGTAGGAAAATCCACCCTATAAAGCTCGAAACATTCTGGCTGGTCCAACATCATGAGCATCAAAGCATCTATATAGAATGCATTCCTCTGCTTTAGTTCTTCAAATAAAAATCTTTCATAAAGGTACCCTCATCCCTCCATCTCTCGGAGTTCCTGCCATGTTCAGGGCTTTGGGGTTGTTTTATTTGGGGTTGTTATTGTTATTTACTTTTATTTTGTTTGATATCTTATAAAGTTAGATTTCAGCCAAAAAATTGACGTATGGGCACTGCAGCACTCTTGGTTATACTCTCATTTTGCCAAAGGTTGACAACTGGAGAAGGTGAAATGACAGTGAAGGGATATAAGGAGAAAGATTAGATCTGCAGAAGTCTCATAGGCATGCTATATGTGGTGTTGGTGGGGGGAGGAGGTATATATCTTCAGAAGGTATCATCCACTGGTATACAATTCTATCTGTGATACTAGGTAATAAAATCATTGGTACAGCTTTATTTCACTGGTACGTTTGAAAGGATGATGTATGCAACAGTTCTAATTCCCTGCTGCCATGCATCTTGTAAGTCATTTATTTCTACACCTATTCAAAGTCAGTACAGCTTGATTTCAAATGGGCATAGTAGCATTTAACATGAAATTTGCACAGCTGCAAATAACCACAATAGGTGTCAAACAGTAAAGGATTACAACTATGCAGTCTGATTTAAATATGACATACATTTAAAGGTCATCATAAACCAGCATTACTTCCAACATGCCTTGAGATGTTTTTCTCCTTTAAAGAAATCCTGAACAATGAGGCCAGCTTTTCTGAGAGCATATTTCATTTCCATTGGGTCTTGACTCCATATCTATGCTCACCAGTCTTTTAAAAGCTGCTTTTTATTTCCTTAGTTGCAAAGGCATTTATTATATGAATTCTGGGGTGTTTCAAACTGTATTCCCACATACAGCAGCAGCATAACAGTGAAGGATACAAGTACATTTAATCTGGATTTTCCTTCTGTCAACTGCAACGCCACTTTAAAGGTCTCATTCTTTTTTCCTCCCATTTCCTGTTTTCTCATGTGTGGGATAGCTAATTTATTTTAGTATCTTGCATTTAATGCATAACTTTTTAAAACGCAGTGGCATATTCCACTGACCAGTTTGGACTGAACATCCCAATCTTAGCCCAGTTAAAGTCAACAACAGGCCCTTCTTCATGTTCAGACCAGTTTTTTTCCGTTATAGAAGTTCCTCCTAATTTCTTTTGCTGTGGCAAGTGTGGGAGATGCTGGGATCCTACAAAGGAAGAGGGTTTTGAGTTAATGTGTTAAGGATGAATCCATGAGTGTCTAATGAGCACTAGTGGATTACCTTTATCTTTCAAATGACTCTGTATTAACTCTACTATAGAATGATGAAAAAAGTATTAGTGTGTAATATGTCGTGTTTTCTATATAGACAATGTATTTTTCCCGTTCATCTTAAATCCCCTTAAAAGGGCATTTAAAATGTTTCTTCACCTAAAATACTTGTGGTTTGTTTTTTTACAGAAAGTGTGTACTTTTTAAGAGCATGAGAAAAACAATGGGATTTGTGTTGAAGGATATATTTGGCAATTTTATTTGTTACTCGGTTTGAATGTAATAAGCCTTTGAGTACAAGTTATGTTTTGAAGGTAAGCTAACTGTTGGGAAATGAAAAGACAGAATACCAAACACAGAGGTACTGGAGTGTACAGGGCTGGCCCACTTAGAAACCACTATCAAGAACCAGAGGTTGCAAGGGATTGGCTACATCAGGAGAACAAAAGACCGTATCCCCAAGAATATTTTGTATAGCGAAGTTCAAGACAGCTCTAGAAAGTGGAGTCACCCTCTGTGGTGGGGCTACAATGTATGCAAAACTAATATGAAGTTGTTCAACATCAGTGTAGAAAGCTGGGAGGAGCACACAGAATCCTGTCCAATCTGGAGGGAACATCTGGCACTAGGTACAACTCAACACCTTTGATCCAAAGGATGGAGGCAAAATGAGAAAGAAGAAAGCAGCATATGCTGTAAACTTGGACTCCAGCTCGGACAACATATGGATCTGTGAAACTTGTAACAAGTTCTGTTGCTCTCAAATTGGGCTTGTCAGCCACAAATGGATTCATTAGACATATGACTAGACCTGTTACATGTGCACCATCATCCAGAGGATCAACAGTTGCCTACTAACTGTT